GGTTTTCAGAGTGAGACCTCAGCCAGTCAGACAGAAAGAGGGAAAATAAGAAAGAGGGGAAAGAGGAGGAGGCTGACCAGCGGTAAAAATCAATGGGAAACAAGAGCAGCAGCAGCCATGATGGAAACCAGATGTACCAGAAGAGCTGAGACACGGACCTGAGAGGACTCTGCAGAACGTGGAACTGATAGAGGATGTCATGATTAGGAGAAAAATTAGACAGATGCAGACAGAGAAGGATGGAAAAGAGAGAGAAAGGGAAGTCAAAAGAGGAATGAGACAAAAAAGGACAAAAAATAATGTGAGGATAAAAAGAGAGGCCTGAAATGTATTTCCTTTCTGGGATTAACCTGCGTAATCTAACCCAGCCTAAAGAGGTTCCTGTAGGAATCTTTGTGATTTTTTACAGTTTGCTTTAGATCAGTACCGTATGTCTCTGGGCTGAATCAAATCCAGCTGAGATCCTCTTTTCTGCATGACAATTTGTTATGTTCTATCAGGCTTCCCACTGGTTTAAACTAACAGCTTCAAAGCATATCCACACCACCACTAAACAGCAGTGTTTTGTGTGACTCATCATTGTTGAGGCTCTCGTAAATCTGCCTGCGTTTCTACGTTTTGCTGAGCAGGGCAGTTTCTGAACTGTGACCCAGGCTGACCTTTCTGTGATCAGACCTCGGCTCAGTGTGAAATATGGACAGAAAACTAATTAGCCTGAAAAAGGTCTTTAGATTTGCACTGTGTGTTAAAGGTGTGGAACACTGAAAAAACACTTTCAGTGATTATCTCTGAATATAATGGGTCACTCTGAGTTTTTCATGCAGGCTGAACATGACGATAGTCTCCTACACTTGTCTTCTGCATTACCTTCTGATAGAAAATAGATGGTGAAATGCTAGGATTTGAAAATCCTCACAGATCTGGACTCATGACAGGGAACGTTGTTGTTGGTTTAGCGTCCAGGAACCAGCAGAGACAGCAAGGAGAAGCTAACCATTAGCATTCACAACTGCACCACGCAACAGAACTCCTCCAGACCAAGCCCCCACAATGTGGCTCAAAAATTGAGGCCAACCCGGAAGTACCAAAAATTGCAGTTCCACCCTCATCCGCTGGGGGCTGGTGTCAGAAGTGAGCAAATCCTCATTGACTCCCATGTTAAAAATACCAATTTCACAGCAGAAATAAACATGTTTACAGCCTGGTACCAGAACATGTTTTTGGTTTAAATGATCTAGTTTACAGTCATGACAACTCTGGGGGTGGGGGTGGGGGTGGGGGGGTGGGGGGGGGGGGGGGTGAATGTTTTCTCACTCTTCTGTTTAAGTGAATTAAAAGCCTAAAATTCTGTATAATTAATGAGCATCAGACCCATGTGACCGCAGAGCTAGCTCAGTAGAGCCTCGGTTTGGCTTGGAAACTGCTCCAGGATTTTGAGTCTCTGTGTTTGTGTATTCTTTTTTGGGTATTTTTTGCAATTGTTGGACAAAATGACTTGCTGTGGCATTAATTGCACTAATAGAGCGTCCAAGGAGTCTCCACTTAATTTTTTTCCTGTAACTAAAATTATATTTATGTATTTTAGGTCACTGCCAAGCTGAGCTGCGCAGGCTGACGGCTTGAGGAGCACTGGGATGGATACCTTTCCACCAGGTTCTCCCCAGCGGCAGCTCTGCACATCTCAGATCACAGCGGCTTCTGTCTGCTGCGTGGCTGCCGGCTTGTGGAGCTCTCGAGAGACCTCTGTGTTCCACCTGGTTTTACCCAGCGGTCAGCCCGGCGTATCTCTGACTCAGAAGCTCTGGTGTTGTGCACAGTTAACTCCGGTTGTAGCTAGGTTGCTATCTCCGTTAGCTTAGCTCCCACCTCCGCGTTAGCTTTGGGTTAGCTTCAGGTTAGCTTGTAGCTAGTTCGACCGGGTGTCGTCAGTTGATCCCAGCCTTACAGCCCCACCCTCAGCTCCTCCTCTCTTCCCTTTTGTGGAATTGTCTGGGCTTGATGGTACCTGTGACACGGTCAAAACGGCGGTGGTGGCCACCTCCCATTTGGCCTCAAAAACGTGTTATTGGAGCTTATGGAAACCCATTGTCCAATATTTATATGTCGATGCTCCAGACTTGTGTCATTTGTAGAGATAAAACATTTATCATTGCAAGTCAGTGGTAGCATCCATCCATCAATTGCCTGAACCCGCTTTGTCCACATGGGGTCGCGGGGGAGCTGGTGCCTATCTGCAGCCGTCAATGGGCAATCAGGCGGGGTACACCCTGGACAGAGAGCCAGTCCATCGCAGCAGTGGTAGAGTCATGTTGGTAAAATAACTCTCCAAATCCTGCCATCTGAAGCTCTCCTCTGACCTGGCAGTCTTCTAGATCATAAAACAGGCACACCAGAGCTTTTTTACCCAGAGTAAAACGTGCTTCTATTCTATTCATTCCTGCTGAAGACCACTGCAAATGTATTAATTAAATGAGTGAATCACACCTTTAAATATTATTGGTATTGTATCAAAAACATGGAGAAGCTGGTTTCAAAATTAAAGTCTCATTAGTCATCACACATCGATGAAATTCATCTCTGCATTTGACCGAGGGGAGAGCTGCAGCTGCACTCAGGAACCATTTGGTGGTTTAACCCCCCAAATCAAACACCAAACTGTGTGTCAAGCAGTGAGACATTGGCTCTCATTTGTAAATGTGACCCAACTGGGATTTGAACCCTGGTCTATCAGTTTCAGGGTGGACACTCTACCACTAAGCCACTGAGGTTAAGAAGACAGCAGATGGCCAAATTCTGTGACTAAGGTTTGGAGAAATGGACCAAAAGTCTCGTAATGGTCAATGTTCTGACCACTTTACTGTTTTAAAGCAGTGGTTCCCAACCTGGGGTCCGTAGGATGGCTGCATCTGGGATTTGAAGCCGCAACAGCGGCTCCACTGCAGCCCAAACTACAATTAAGTACAGCTCAAAAATACAGATGAAGAACATACTTGCTTTGGCCAAACATTACACCAAAACTTTCTTTTGATATAGTTCACAATTAAACAAAGCTCCATCGTTGTCTGTAGTTGTGTAAAATGTAGGATGCTCAGTTTTTTCTTCCAGGAAATCTTCATTTGTTTGCCATAAATGTTCAGTTTTTCAAATCTGTTTTTCAAATAACTTCATGTCGTGTAGAAAGAACTAAAATGTTAGTACTTTACTTTATTCCCTGTAATTTGCCTTATATTATAGGTACATAGGTTTTGATCCTCCAGTTTCCCTGAAGTAATGCTTTTGCTTTGCCTCCAGACGTTAACCAGGTGTAAACGAGCAACCAGTTAAACATTTCTGAGAGCTCATTCAAATCTGTCACTTAATTCCTGAAATGTGTTTTGTGAAACAATAGTGAGCATCAAAACAGACCAAAAGCATGAAAATTAGACATTATAGAGTTAGACCAACTTGTGAAAACTACATTTAAAGCCACCTGTAAACCGAAAGTGAGGTAAAAGTCAAAATAAGGGTTGTTTGGTATAGCTGGGGCTTTATCAACCTTTATAGGTTTTCTATCTGTTGAATTCCTCAAAAACGTTCCCACATTAACTCTCCGTGAGCATAATTCCCCCTAATTCTTCTGGTTTGACTCCAGAGGGAGTCATCTGTATTTTTAGCATCAAACCTAACTGTTATCTCTGTCTGCTGTTTGCTTTTGAGCAGATGTGTAATCTGGGGCTTTATCAGGGCATGAGGCCAAAACCACAACACCCAAAAGGATAACAGCTATGATCTTTACGCCGGGACGACTACGACGGCCTTGAGCTGTGACTCAGTGAGGTGAGACATCAGTGTGTGTAGACTGTACTCCAGACAATTACAGGAAACTCCATTAGAGGGGTTTGATCCTGCCTGGCTTGTTTTCTGCTCCGCAGTGGGGTGAAGTCGTTTTTACTTTCAGTCCACCAAGACGGTTGGTTCTCTGACTGGAGTCAAAGACGGGCACCAAGTGAAGTCTTTCTAGAGTCACGTCGTCGTGTCATTGGAGTGCTGTTGTGTGCATTAGAGTGTGCACGACTGTGCATGAGAGCGTGCACATTTTAACACCTGTGTGTGCAGCAGCCGCCGTCGTCTCTGGGCGAGTTCTTATGTGCCTCCCTTTTTAGTTCAGCTCTAAGATGTTCTTCTCACTGTTACTCGAGGTGAACTCTGACTCTTCGCGTTCTCACATCTGTTCCTGTTTTCCATTCTAAATTTTCCCAACCGTACAGTGACGGAGAGGAAACAGCAAAGCACATGTTCTCCCCCTCTCTTCAGACCATGCCATCCCTTGTTCCCCCCTTTTGCGCTCCCTTTTTTTCCCTCCCAGCTCCAATCTGGAAAATGTGGTATCACCAGAAACCGCCGCAACGGCCGTCCAAGTCTCCTAAAGTAAAAACGTAACCCTACTCTGCTTTTATTCTCGTTTCCCCTCTCCAGCTCTCTCTTTCCGTCTGCCAAACGGCTCCACCCTGCACAGAAGCTGACCGTAATCTTTTTTTCTTCTTCTCTTGAGTTTATTTATGTTTACATGTTTGCTATTGTCTCTCCCCTGCCTCTGGGTGTCACTGATCACACCACAAGTGGGTGGGGAATGCAGGCTGAATCCCAGGAGATGCAACACAGGGCTCTTCTGCTTCCCCACTGATGTGAGTCAGCCACAGAAGATGCAGACGTCCCACCAGTGTGATCATGTCAGTGATTTAGAGCTTTTGGGACTTCACAAAACTGCAAGCTAAGAGTTCTAACTTCTAAGGGAACTTCTGCTTTAAACACAAGGCAAATCTTTGAGATCTGGCTGGTGATTGGGTGCAAAAAGGTCCCACGTTGAGTTTAGATCCTTCTCTGTTGCTCATTGAGTCAAACACTGAAGACAGGTCAGAGTTTTCTTTTTCTTTTGAACAAAAAAGGATCTTGGTGTCCTTTATCAGACAGAAAAGTTGCACAAAATGAGAATTTTTCACACATAAATCTAAGGGACTTACCATGACTTCAGTCAGGAATTCCTACATCGTCCTCGGCTCCTTTCCTGGCTCCGCTTCCTCTCCACATTCTCTGCTAAACTTTCCTTTCCTCACACGGAATCAGACATCAGCACGTCCTCCATCAGATGATTTTCCAGCTCAGATTGCTCCTGGTTCTCAAAGTTTTCAGTCCGTGGAAAAAAAGAAGAAAACATCACAACTACAATAAATACTTCTCTCTTCTCCTCCACGGTCTCTCTCGGTTGTGTTTCCCAGTCTGGGAATGTCCAAGCTTAGTCTCCCCCTCCCTCCTCTCTCTCTGACTGCCCCGGCAGTCCCACGGTCTCCCACCTCCCTCCCCCCTCTCACCTAACAGAGGCACCACAGTCCCTCTCGGCTCTCAAACTTTCCATCTTGTCCCTCCTCCTCCCTCTCGACTAACTTAAATGAATAGACAATGAGAACGGTTACCCCACCCAAACCTCTCATGTTTTACTGGGAGCCTTTTTTCATGCAACTGCACAGTAAACTGTTGCAGAGGGTGTTTTACCCAACATGTATCTGCTCCACATGTTCTTACATTTCTTAGACCTCTATCTCATTAACAGGATTAGTACATTCCTCAGTCTTCTGCATAATTCTGGTAGATCACTGTACTGCATGACATGAGTGCCAATTATATTTTAGTTTTACTATTGCAACATTGTATACGTAGCCCGTTGTTATGATGGATGCATTAGAAAAAATACTCACACATAGGAAAGCATTACATGATTAGACATTCAAGTTTATAAAAAAGGGGAGTAATAGTGAAAACAAGTTTAATGTGTGGCAATATGTGTGAGGCAAGTTTATTTTGGTTTACTATTGAGGTCTAAAAATGATGTCATGACGTGTGAACATGCTGTATTTCTGTATTTGGTTGCATACAAGTAATGGTGTGTATGTTTAAAAGCGTACTTGACTTTGTTGACTTTCCCGGTGACAGTCTGTCCGGATGTTTGTGAATGCATCAACAATCCAACCTGCTGGATTCTTGGCAGTTCGCAGCAACGTCATTTTGCAACACTCTCGGAGATTTTTCTCTTACTTTCCTTTATCCTTGTGTTACTTGTTGTTTGTTCTACATTCACACCAGGACTCGTGAGTAACCAAAACTGACTGAAAGTGTGACTGCATGGGGCCCGTGGTGTATGTGTGCAAAAACATAGGGTGTGGTGTAAAGGTGTTCAGATATTCAACTACACTCAGAAGGTTATTATTATTCTTTCTGGTTTTTCATTTAGAGCTCATTGGGATTGTTCTGTTTGCATACGTTGATTGTGTCACAAGTTCTATTAAACTAGGCGGAGCTCTTTAGGCCTAACTCAGAAGTGAGGTTGAGTGTTATTTCTTAGCATTATTTGTGTAATCTTTATGGGAATTTTTTTTGGTTTAATCTGGTCAACTGTGATTGCAATTTTTTTTAGATATCATTTATTAAAGAACCCTATACCCCTCATCTTACTTCAGTTTGAATAGGGTGGCAATGTTGCTATACACACACAGGCGGATGGCTGCTTATACTGAGCCAGGATCCTCTGGAGGTTTTTTCCTGTTAAAAGAAAGTTTTCCTCTCCACTGTCACTGCATGCTTGCTTAGTATGAGGATTGCAACCTGCAGGGTTCCTTATATGTTTCTCTATTATATATATTTTTCTTTAAACATCTTTGGTGTGTTCTTACTGTGTTTAGTTTCTAATTCCATTTTTGGTTCTTTTCAAAACACCTTGCTAACGTTTCATTTGCCGACTGCAAAACATCCTCAGAGCTGACGCTGATGGTGGCGTGACTTCCTTCTCCGTTTATCTGCGGGCAGCAGAGGACGCTGTCGCCCTCTGCTGCCCACATTTTGCAGGTGAGGGATCAGACAAAGAGCAGCCCAAAGACCTCTTATGATGAATTATATAAATGGAAACCGTGTTCCCTCGCCCGGACGTGGGTCACCAGGGCACCTCTCTAGAGCCAGGCCTGGATGTGGGGCACGTTGGCGAGCTCCTGGTGGTCGGGCTTTCACCCATGGAGCACGGCCGGGCACAACCCGAAGATGTGGATCCCCCTTCCCATGGGCTCACCACTCGTGGGAGGGGCCAAAGGGGTCGAGTGCAGGTTGTCGAGGGCGGGGACCTTGGCGGTCTGATCCTCGGCTACAGAAGCTGGCTCTTGCCACATGGAATGTCACCTCTCTGGTGGGGAAGGAGCCTGAGTTGGTGTGTGAGGTTGAGAGGTTCCAAATAGATATAGTTGGACTCACCTCAACACATGGCTCTGGCTCTGGAACCAGTTTCCTTGAGAGGGTTCGGACTTTCTACCACTCTGGAGTTGCTCCCACTGAGAGGCACTTGTCATGAGCCGGGGTGAGTACTCTTCTCATCATTCACCATCTCTGAGTGTTCTGATTGCAGGAGAGGGAGCGACAGCTGATCCTCATCAGCGTGATCAGCAGGTCGACTTTAAAAGGAGGATGGTGATCATGATTCGACGCCGGATGATTACTACTGACTGGTAGTCTCTTGCCCTTCGTATTCTCTCCTCTCTAGACTCGACTTTGTGCATGTTTTTGAAAACTCGTTTTAACTTGGATTTTTGTCTGGATAACTTACCTCAGGTTGGCTTCATCTCTGGATCCTCCACCGTCTCTAGGACTTCTCACTGGTTCGCTTCCTGGATCAATATTCACTCAGCCGTCCCGCTCTCCACCACGCTCCCGCTCCCTCTCCGGATCAACTTCCTCATCTCCTCTCGTCACCACTCACCCTCCTGGATCGTGGTCATTTTTGCTCTGGATATCACCCTGGCTCACTCCCCCTCCATAACCCTCCTGAACTTCCGCATCGTAAGTCCCATCTCCAAACATTCCCCTCAGAACTACAATTCCCAATACTCACATCTGTTTTCCCCTAGACGCCGCTTCCTGTTTCTTCCCCATTCGCTGGACCTACAGTGTGCCCTTAGTTTCTCCTTTGTAAAAATAAATATTATTATTTATCTCCTTTGTCTAAGTCTCCGTCTCTGATTCTGCATGTCTTGGGTTAGTAAGTAAGTAAGTAAGTAACTTTATTTCTATAGCACCTCTCACAGACAAAAAGGTCACAAAGTGCTTCACAAGTTAAAAGGCAACAACATATAAATACAGTAAAATAGAGCCACAATATACATAGTGTCAAATACAACCAATCCAAATGAGACTAAGTTTAAAATGCCTGGAGAAACAAATGGGTTTTAAGATTGCTCTTAAAACATCAACTGAGTCGATTGAGCGTAAGGACAGAGGTAGCTCATTCCAGAGCCTAGGAGCGACGGCCTGGAATGAATGATCTCCTCGTGTCCTGAACTGAGTACGTGGGACCATTAAAAGGTTTTGATCCAGAGATCTCAGCCTGCGAGAAGGCGTGTAAGGGCAGAGCATGTCTCGAACATACAATGGAGCCAGACCATGCAGCGCTCTGAAAGTCAGCACAAGAATTTTAAAATTGATGCGAAATGTGATTGGAAGCCAATGAAGAGCTTTTAAAATGGGGGTAATGTGGGCCCTTCTGTTGTCACGGGTCAGAATTCTAGCTGCACAATTCTGGACTTGTTGTAAGCGGGACAGCTCTTTTTTGTTTAGACAAGAAAATAAACTATTACAGTAGTCTAAACGGGATGATGTAAATGCATGAATAATCAACTCAAGATCAGCTTTAGACACCATTGTTCTGAGTTTAGAAATTTGTCTCAAGTGGTAAAAACAGTTTCTAGTTAACTGCTTTGAGTGATGTTCAAGAGACATTCCCTTGTCAAAGAAAACTCCAAGGTTTCTAAGGGTAGGTTTAACATACAAACTCAGATCACCTAACTGCTGGTGAATCCCTGGAACAGCATCATCGGGGGGCAATCACCAGTACTTCAGTTTTGTCTGAGTTCAGCCATAAGGCATTTGCACCGAGCCACTGTTTGATTCGCTAAAAATAAGATAATAGAGAATGCAATTTTTTAACCTCAGAAGGCTTGAAAGAACAATACAGCTGAAGATCATCAGCAAAGAGATGATAGGAAACATCATCGGCAAACTCCTGGATTAGGTTTCCTAAAGGAAGGATGTACAACAAGAACAAAACCGGGCCCAAAACTGAGCCCTGGGGTACTCCACACCGTAGATCAGTTGGGTCAGACAGGATCTGGTTGACTGAGACACTTAGGCTTCTCCCGGATAAATAGGATGTGAACCACGCCAGGACAGAACCTGACAACCCAACCAACTCGCGGAGCCTACTCAGCAAGATCACATGGTTAACCGTGTCGAATGCGGACGAAAGGTCTAGTGAAACTAGGACCGTGTTAGACATCTACCTCAGAACATGACAGCACCGAGCAGGGGTGGGTATACCTGTTGCCCCCCATCTTGGTGACTGTATGTTGGGGTTTACCCCAGTGAATGAGAGAGTAGCCTCCCTCAACGTGATCTTCAGCTTTCGCTGGAGCGGTTCGCAGCCAAGTGTGAAGCAGCTGGGATGAGAATCCGCTCCTCTAAATCTGATGGTCTTGATTCGGAAAAGGGTAGAATGCCTTCTCCGGGTCAGGGATGAGGTCCTGCCCCAAGTGGAGGAGTTTAAGTATCTCAGGGTCTTGTTCATGAGTGAGGGAAAACTGGAGCTTGAGATAGACAGGCGGATTGGTGCTGCATCTGCAGTGATGTGGGCGTTGTACCGGTCTGTCATGGTGAAGAGAGAGCTGAGTTAGAAGGCGAAGCTCTTGATTTACCGGTCGATCTACGTTCTTACCCTCACCTATGGTCATGAGCTTTGGGTAGTGACTGAAAGAATGAGATTGTGGATACAAGCGGCCGAAGGCTCACACAAAAAGAACAGGATTCGGACCTGGCGATTGATGGCTTCGGAGCTCTGCTTCGCTTGGATTGACAGGCTGAGTTGACGGGGAAACATCAAGGCAGAGGGGTATGTTTACACGTAAACCAACAATACTGAAAATCAATCAAGATAAGTGAAAGAATCTGCAACCCGAACGTAAAACTGCTTTCAGTCTCAATGCACCCCTTCTACCTGCCGCGGGAGTTCCCACAACTCTTTTTTTACTATGGTGTATATTCACCCGAAAGCAAATGCCCAGCTAGCCTCCAGCATTATCTTTGACGCTGTGCAGAGATTGCAGTCAGTCTCCCCAGATGCGCCTAATTTCATTCTGGGGGATTTTAATCATGTGAATTTAGGTAAGACGCTTAAAAACCTGTACCAGTACATGACCTGTTCTACCAGGAAGGAGATAACTCTGGACATGTGCTACGGGTTTATAGAGAATGCTTATAAATCTTTCTCTTTACTACACTACACACCACCCTATCTCAGGGTAGGGTGGTGTGTAGTGATTTGCAAATGAACACATTCACTTTTGACTTCACCATAGATTGGTAAGGCATGTGCTGCATACTGTGGCCTTTCCATCATCATCATCTCATCGCATCTGTTTCCTACCCTTCTGACCCAACCTGGTGCTGGTAATCTACCATATTCCAGTTGAAGACCGTGGTGTCAGACTTAGAGGTTCCGACCTTCATTTCATCTGCTCCACACTTAGTTGCAAACTGCTCTAGTGCTTACTGGGGGCCCCGGGTCTAATCAGGCTCAGTATTGTTCTAATTGCAGCAGAAATATGCTACTAATAATAATCTTTAACATCAGATGGATTTCTGGAGATCATTCCAAGACTCCCACTTGGTGTTTCACAACCCATAGTGGAGTCCCAACCTCAAATCTGGGAAGCATTTCTCAGTGTGCTTTTCATGGGCATTCTACATTCTAATTGATTAATGATTATTTTAGTTTTCCATAGAAAACCATTAGCCTCTTCCCAAGTCTTTCACATTTTTGATTGCACATATAAGAATAAAACATTACTGCATATAAACACATGTGGCTAAATCAGATGTGTATATCAATGCATTTTATACTTATCATCCAAGAAATGCAAAACCAGATCCAAGAGAAAATGTGTTAATAGTTCAGGTTCGATTTTCTCTCTTTAAGGGCAACTTTAAAACATCAGATTGGCAAAGTTAAGTCAGTTTAGAATATCCTCTTAGAAAGTTAAACAGCACCACTGGTGTGGTCTGTTGGCATGGCTGAATATGGGGTCAGTGTGAAGATGAGAAAATAAATATCTAAGAGTCTGGAATTCTGGGCGATTTCTAAAGTAGCATAATCAATAAAATCTATCTATCTATCTATCTATCTATCTATCTATCTATCTATCTATCTATCTATCTATCTATCTATCTATCTATCTATCTATCTATCTATCTATCTATCTATCTATCTATCTATCTATCTATCTATCTATCTATCTATCTATCTATCTATCTATCTATCTATCTATCTATCATCTATCTATCTATATCTATCTATCTATCTATCTATCTATCTATCTATCTATCTATCTATCTATCTATCTATCTGTCTGTCTGTCTGTCTGTCTGTCTGTCTGTCTGTCTGTCTGTCTGTCTGTCTGTCTGTCTGTCTGTCTGTCTATCTATCTGTCTGTCTGTCTGTCTGTCTGTCTGTCTGTCTGTCTGTGTGTCTTTATCTAGGGTACTGTGGCTCGCTTGCAGCTTGTTCAAAATGCTGCAGCAAGATTTTTGGAAGGTAAGTGAAAGCAAGAGCACACGACTCCACTTCTGGCTGCCTGTTAACTTTAGAATTGGTTTTAAACTTCTTTTGATGGTGTTCAAGGCAATAAATGGGGTGGCCCCTGCCTGCCTGTCAGAGGTGTTGAAGCCACATGTTCCTGGTCGGGCACTTTGTTCTGTAAACCAGTTACTGCTCTCTGTTCCCAGAACTCGGCTGAGGACAAAGGGACAGGGCATTCTCGGTGGCAGGTCCAAGACCGTGGAATGTCCTTCCCTTAACCATTTGGCGTTCCCCATCAGAAGGGGTTTTACAAATGAGGATAAAGTCTAGGCCTATTTGCATGATCTATGGTTTAGCTGTTGCTGCTACGTCTACATGCTTTTATGCTGGTATGTTTTAATTGTTGGTTTCTTAAAGTTTTCTTTACTGGTTTTATGTTTTTATTTTTATTACAAAGCACCTTACTGGCACGTTTCATGCCAGTAAGGTGCTCTATAATAAAGATGATATATATATATATATATATATATATATATATATAAAACGCCACACCTCCAATATCTCACGCTGGTTATGAAAAAAAACCAGATTATATTAATTATAATATTAGCTACTGGACAACATGCACACAAACGGCAGAAGAAATCATTTCACTTACTGAACCCCATCTGTTTAAAGCTACTCTCTGCTCTGGCTGTGAGGTGGGCGAAGCGGTGAGCTTCACCTGCGCCTGATGGTTCTCTCTCCCAGAACCGTGAGCTGCGGCTGCGCGCGCCACCAAACTTACATGCTTTTATTTAGAAATGCAGCCACGTCGCCAGTAGATTTTGGCGGAGCTTCAGTCCCGAACGTTTTTTGTCTTTTGTTTACACTCATCAGCCACAGATCCTCGCTACTCTCACTCACAGCTAGCTGGGCTTCCTACAGTGGTGACTCACTCACACGTCCCTCTCCTACATTTGTTGGTTACACGGTGAATGAAAACATTCATTCATTTCATTCATCACTTCACCAGTAGGTTTTTTCTTGTTTGGGAGACAACCCCTCCTCAGTAACCATGTAAAAAATGTCTAGGGGAAACACTGTCATACCTTTCATTTAGTTGATAAAATCCACAATTTATTGGCTCTTACAGTTTTTCTCAGTTGCTTTGGTGCATTTCCCACAACAGAATTGATCTTTGCACCACTATTAAGGCTTTTCTCAAAACAATTGATGCAAACTGCAAAACATGGTGGATAACTTGCAAAAGTGAGTCACTTCATCAAAAAGAAAAGTCAGTTGTTCAAAATAAGCAGTCAATGCTTCAAAAGCAAGTCCCTTAATCAAAACAGATAATATATTCATCAAAAGCAAGTACTTGTATCAATCAAAGTGTCAGGGCTGCCACAATTACAAGTTATTACACCAGCACCTTTGGTCACAAAATCAAATGGTTTGAACATGTTCTCATTGTGACAGATTTCTTTGTAGGTGCTTCCCAATGACATGTCAAGTCTGGACAGCATGCATGGCATGTTGAAAACCATAAATTGTAAAGGAAAATCAAGACACTTCATATGCACTCTTGATAATATTTAGTTGAAACTGTTCACAGCCTTGTGCAACTGGGGAAATACAGTAAAACAAACATTTTACAGCAAACATTAACTCACTTAGACAGTGAACCTTACCGCAGTAGTTATGGAACAAAAAAAAACTGAACAGACACTGCTGCATATCAGTCATTGATATCTAGACGCTCCCGTCTGTGTGCTCACATATTTTCATCAACATCACAGGGAATGTCAGCTCTATCGATGCATCGGGGAAAGTATCTCCTGGAGTGTCGAATCCACCCTCTGCAGGACTCTGCTGTGATGTCATCACAAGCAGCATCCACAGCTGCTAGCAGGGCCATTTGGGTATGTGGATGCCTGTCATATACCTTCCACCTCCAGGAACAGAAAAACTCCTCAATTGGATTTTGGAATGGAGTGTAAGGAG